ATTTCTCCTCCGTTGTATGTTTGACCTTTGACCTCTGGGAGGTTGCCATCTATTTGGACATGGCCAGTGGGAGGGGTGGGCACAAAATGAGGGAGTGGGCTTCAGCTCTGGCACCAGCTGTGTTCCTCCTCCCAGAGCCACAGCTCCTGTCCAGGGGACCCCCCTCCCAAAGCCAGAGTTCTAGGTGCAGCAGACAGGGCGCCCTCCTCAGGCCAGGAAGGTCCTGGCTTTTCTTCCCACTGTTGTCTTCCCACTGTTAGGGGCTCCCCCATCTCCTCAGTTCCTCTGTAAACAGGCCCTTCATTAAACTCCCTTCCGCTAAAGCCTTTATACGTGCCACTAGTTTTTGACTGGGACTCTGACAGACATAACATAACCATGAAGACTTTATTTGGACATAAGGGAGGACATCTTTCCAAATGAATCATCCTATCTAATAATAGACAAACATGGTCATTGACCGTACCTTCGCTACGCCTCCCATTGGCTAATCAGCGAGATATGCAAATTAACTGCCAACAAAGATAGCGGTTAATTTGCATACGTAGGCGTGAAGCAGCGGAGCGAAGACACAGCGAAGGCTTTGAAGGCGGCTCTGGCCGGAGCCAAGGCCTGGTTCCCGGGTGCCGGAGGAAAACCAGTGCCGGCAGCCAGGGGAAGGGAAGGCCTATTGCACGAATCTTTTCATGCAACAGGCCTCTAGTTTTTAAATATTGGAAACTGCCAATCCAAGACAGTTCTAACCCTAAGGGAGACGCATTGCGATGGTGGCGGTTTGCTGTGAGGGAAACAGGTTGGAAGGCTGGGGAACGTGTGTCTAGAGGGCCGTGGTGGTGGGAAGGAAGGGTGGGGTTCTCTTCTAGATGCAGAAAGCAACGAGGCCATGGCCACGGGAGCAAAGTGAGCAAGAGGATCATGGGCAAAGGAAGGAACTGTGACTGCTGTCATGGGAAGTTATGTTCGGGGTTTGTTTGTTTGTTAAAGAATTGACTTTTCGAGGGTGAAAAGGAGGAGGGAGAGAGCCAGTGCCAGAGCGAAGCATCCATTGGTTTCCTCCCGCATGTGCCCGATTGGGGGTCCACCAGGGCACTGAACTCCCAACCTGCGTATGTGCCCTGACCGGGAGAAGAACCTGCCGCCTGTGCCTACAGGACGACGCTCCAACCAGCTGAGCCCCACCTGGAGGGCCATGTTGAGAGATTTTAATGCGCAAAATAACGCCCCCACAGATGTCCATGTCCCAATCAGTGGAGCCTGTGAATACGTTTCCTTATATGGCAAAATGGACTTAGCAGATGTGACTACATTGAAGACCTTGAGATGGGAGGGACCCTGGGCCATTCAGGGGGCCAAGGTGATGGGAAGGGGCCTGTAGGAGGCAGGCGAGAGAGTCAGAGGCGAGGAAAGATCTGACAGGCCACTCTGCTGGCATGGGAGGTGGCGGGGGAGCCCCAAGCCTGGGCTGCAGGTGGCCCCTGCAGCTGGACAAATTGCCCCCGGAGCCTGCTGACCACACACCACTGTGCTGTCCCCTGGTCCCGGCCCGGAGACTCCCGACCTGGGAACAGGAAGGTAGGACACGTGTCTTGTTTTAAACCATCAAATCTGTGGCAATCTGTCCCCACAGCAGCAGGAGACTGACAGGAGGGTGGAAGGAGGTACAGGGAGCTAGACAGGCCACACCTGCGTGGCCAGTCGAGCATGTTTTATTTTATCTGAAGATGACAAGGAACCACCAGAGTGTTCTGACTAAAAACTCAGATATAATGGGAATGACTTGTGACCAGCATAGGGTAGAGTTTGGGTTCAGACGAGACAGGAAGTGCGCCCTGCAGGAGTGTGCGCTGGGGGTTAGGGAGTGGGGGGCGCTGGGGCTGGGACCCAGGTTGGGTGTGGATTGATGCCTCCATGAGAAGTTTCCAAGCAACCTGACAACGCGACGACTGACAGGAAACCAGCAAAGAAAAGGAAGAAAAGTCCAATCTCAGATCCTTGCATTGTGAAACGGGCGTAAATATAGCACGTGAGGAAGCTGTTAGCTCGGACACAGTAACTTTTTACATTCTACACCTCAATACGATTGAGTAACATATAGATGTATACACAGAGACACACACAGAAGGGAAGTTAATGTGATTTTGAAATATCTATGCACCATTTCCCTTTAAGCCCCTTCCTGGAATTAGCAAGGCGCCTTATCCCAACAATTGCAGAAAACCCACAGTACGCAACCTGCGACGGTTTTAGGCCTGGAGAAATAGACGCAGCGGAACCGAAAAATGCTTCTCTAGGTACAGGCAGATATGGAAATAATTACATGTGTACGTGATAAAGTTATATATAAATGAAAAATCATACACAGATGAGATTGTAACTTCTGAACCAACATTTTCTTAAGCCTTGTTCTTGTCTTTTTGGAGGCCATGCGAGTATCATTTGACCATTTCTGCCTTAGCGACTGCTTATTTGGCAAAGTGAAAAGGCACCGTTTGAATAGTTAGTAAGCAATTCAGATTTTGCACAACAAAAACAGGCCAGTCACCTCCAAACAATTTGAGCCAGAAAAAGCATCAGAGGTCAAACGTGTAAAGCAATGGTTCTCAACCTTCCTAATGCCGCGACCCTGTAATACAGTTCCTCATGTTGTGGTGACCTCCAACCATAAAATTATTTTCGTGGCTACTGCATAACTGTAATTTTGCTACTGTTATGAATCGTCATGTAAATATCTGATATGCAGGATGTATTTTCATTGTTACAAATTGAACATAATTAAAGCATAGTGATTAACCACAAAAACAATATGTAATTATATATGTGTTTTCCGATGGTCTTAGGCGACCCCTGTGAAAGGGTCGTTCGACCCCCAGGTGGAGAACCGCTGGTGTAAAGGGTCGTGACAGAAGCTGAGAAATTAAACCATCCACTGGCTCTGAAGCCGCCCGAAGTGTGGGTGGCTGGACATTTCCCGCGGAGTGGGAACTGCTGGGACGAACTGCCAGTGGCTCATCACCAGCTCCCACACCAGCCCGCTGTGGGAAAAAGAGGAACTCTGCTGCGGATCACCCCTTTCCAAGTGATCTGCTTGGAAGTTAACCCTGGGCCCTCTGAGCCGGGCGACACTGGCTGGCTCCCCCATTTTTTGGTGGTAAAACACTAGATTAACAGCACCAGTGAGCACCCCGCTGTGAGGACACGGAACAATCCAATTCTGAGGATATTCGCCAAAGCCAGCCATTCATTAACCCCTTCACCTGGCCATTTTTAAAAAACACAAAACTGCACCCATCTGCCTTCTCTCTTTGACCATTCAACCTTTCCTCCCCAATTAGTAACTGGGGAAAAAAAAAAAGAAAGAAGAAAGAAAGAGAGAGAGAGAGAGAGAGAGAGAGAGAGAGAGAGAGAAAGAAAGAAGAAAGAAAGAAAGAAAGAAAGAAAGAAAGAAAGAAAGAAAGAAAGAAAGAAAGAAAGAAAGAAAGAAAGTTGTGACCACGGGTTAATCGTTGGGAAAAATCTGGGAAAATCCTAGGAGTTAGGAGTCACCCTTCTCTAAATTGACGGCACTTTGCATCGCCACCCTGTGTTTAGGTCCCTCCTCAAAAGCACCTACTTCTGCACAACTGACAGCACCCACTGCGCGCTGCGTTCTGTGCGCGGCACCCCGTCGCCTTTGCAGGGCGAGCGCTCCCTGCCTCCCTCCCCCTCGGTGC